CAATTTTCTTCAATCCCCCATTTATACTCTTCTCTGATCCCCCCTCTGTTTACCCTAAAAACCGTGTAATCCCCCCCAAAATCCCCCGACCCCCATCCCTCTGGGATAATTAATGACAGGTTCCTAAAAACCCAGTTCCCTTACACCAGAGTCCACGTTACAGCCTTCCCCACACTATGTCATACTTACCCTTAAATAATTGACCCACATGATGAAGAGAGTGTTGATACCAACACCAATTCTCTCCCCAGTCTCCGTCGGAAGGAGGAAAACGAGAAGTGTCAGCATTGCATTCGATAAACACGGCAAAAATAGGATCACAATGTAATACGTTGTGTGACGTCTTAGCTGCATGGTGAATGTCACGGAAGGACTTGTGTTAGTGTCGTTGTCATGCTGGTCAACAGCTGTATACAAAGGGACGTTTATCCTCGTAAATTTATTGCAAACTTTTTATTAAGTATGTCCGTTAAGGGAAAGCATTTTGTGTTGAGAGATCTTTGTTTTGAGATTTCCTTTGTTAAGTTGTAAATTTCGGTAGTCATTTGTAATTCGCCAGGGCGTCCGCGGTCTCATGCGTTCAGTTGTTTCTTAATTGAGTTCCATAAAACCTTTCCGCATTAACATATTCTCGCTGATAAAGTTTTGCCAAAACTCAGAAGGGTGAAGGAAAGTAAACTTTTGCTCAAACATCTAACTTAGTTGAAGAAAGAAAAGGAGTCACAAATTAGTTTTGGTAAATCAAAGTACATCTCCCTTGATTGAGTAATTTGAGCCGATGGAACTTAGCATATGATTTCCTATCGCAATTAAAACATATGGATGATATCTTGAAAGGCTTAATTAACCAAAAGAGACCTTCTCGAATCGATCACTCTTCATTCCATGTTTAGGGCTTAAGGACGCTTTCAGTTAGCCATGTTGCTTGGTTAAGTTGTCATGGGAATCATAATAAACAAAACTTGTCAAATTCAACTGTAAAAAGAGGTTGTTTACCGCGGTATTCCATAACTGACCAACCAGCTGAGGACGCAAAAGCCTCCTTTGACTCGGCCAGTATTGATGATTTGACATCTGCTGAGAACTTCAGATCCTTGTTCGTGTACGCCCATGTTCCTGAATAAAAGGGGGGCAAGTATCTAAAGATAAGCTGCGTTGGTGGGAGAGAAGGGTAAGAGGCTAAGGCTCTAAAAGTCAGCTTTACAAACTCCTTACGGTGGCCACTATCAACTCAGATTAGAAAAACAAATTATCGTGTTCCTGAATGTTTGTTTATCAGTCTTAAAATCGTGTTTGCAAGGAGCAAGAATGTGAAATCTTAAAATCATTTTAGCGAGAAGCAAGAAAACGAAGGAGTTCAGCTGAACGTGGACTCACCGAATTTAGGGTTGCATCTTTGAATATCAAACGGATACATGGTCATGTCCATTAGGCACGAGATACTGAGGATTGTCGGCACGGCTATTTTGATTTGGCCGTCATATCGAATCTCGGCTAAGACGCTCAGACCATCGTCAGAACTTTCAAAAAGCGGGGCAAAACGTGACTCAAGCCTGTAAGTAAATTGTTTGAAAAGTGGGTAAAGACAACAATCTTGGTAAGAAGCACCTCTGGCCGGAGCTTATTCCCCAACTCCCCTCCTCTGGAAACCGCAGAAAGACGCGATTAGGAATATTGCTACCCCCCCTGGATAGAAGCTGTAGGGGACGGTCTCATGGTAAGTGCGCTAGACTCCAGGTCGAGAAGTCTGGGTTCGTGGCCTGGCCGGGTCATTGTGCTGTGTACTCACAGTGTATCTCTCCATCTAGGAGTACTGGAAAATTGTCAGGAAAGCCTGATGAAGTGCCTGAGGGTAACCTTGGGATGAACTGGCATCCCATACAGGGGGGAGTGGTGATACTCCTTGTCACTTAATGCTATAGAAACTGGCATATTAAGCTCCGGCTTGAGCACAGACTTTACCTCTACTTGGATGGGTGCTAATTTTTCAAAGATCCCCCCCCCCTCAGCACTTTAGGAGGCAGGCTTCCCTGATAGTTCGCTGATAGCCATTCATACGCCTGGCTGGATTTAGGGAATGCGAGAGTCAAGTGTCTTATCTAAGAACAAAACGCTATGACCGGGCCAGGTTTCGCACCAGGACATCTCGACCCAGAATACAGCACTGTATTCGTTTTGTCCTCGCCTCTCCCAAACATTGTAATAATTTTGAGTTTTCCAAACTTAGTAATGGACAATGAAGAAACGAGTGTTTTTACTCACGAGTTTAATAGTCCTACGGGTGGTGTCCAGATCGTATCTACTGGTAAGTTAATACGCGTCAGGTTTCCATACTGCGAAGGACTCCAAATCAAGGACCGATCTTGCCAGGTCTGCAAAGCGTGCAAATAGTATGTTCCGAACGATATGCCAGCAAAGATAGATTTTTAATTGTTGATTACTCCATGGAAAAAAAGACAGACAGACACATGCACAGACAAGCGCATGATAAAACGGATTATCATATAGAAGAAGGGGTAGGCAGATAGGCCAAGGAGTCAAGCTACAAAAAACGGAGAAAAGCTGCGAGACAGACAGCTCAGAAAGAACGACGGAGACAACTTGGACAAAGAGACAGACAACACTAGTTATGTAACGAGTTTAAAAACATATTTCTTGTCAAAATGTGGTAGAAATAAAAAAAAATTGGCACTGAGGCATAGCCGAGTGTGTCACTGATGTTCCTAGTGCATTTTGACGTTCTCTGTGAATGATCTATTACTGTGGAAACCCTCGCCAACATAATATCTACTTATTTTATAGAATAAAATCAAACAAGCAGAATAATGTTCATGGTGTCTTCATTTATGAGTCAGTCCTCAAAAAGATCATGAGCAGGAACAAGTTAGAGAAAATGATTTCCCATTATTTTCTCATTCAGCTTGTCGTACAATTAAAATAAAGAGCACCCACTGACCAGTCTAAGCCAAAGGCTCATCCGCGCAAGCTGCTCGACCACATCCTGTAAAGATAATGAATGAAGACGAATTTCACATAACTGGGAAAATTCAAAACACATCAAAACTCTTTTAACAGAAGCTAAAGAAGGATGCCGTATTCCTCAAATAAGCGCCCGGGCGCTTATTTAAAATTTGGCAAAAAGCGGGGCGGGAAGGGGTCACTATACGCACAGAGGACAGGAATGGGTTTGTACCATCCTTCCTAAGAACATTTGCCACTCACAAAACAACAAGGAAGTCTTTAATCGAGCCTTAAACGTTATCTGGCACGAGGCACAATTTGTATCTTTTCAGAATAACTTAGAATCAAGGTATATCTTGCGTTGACCTCGCTAGATTTCACAATATCTAGTCTAAGAAACCATCATTTCTGTTTCTTGTTACTTTATTTCCTGATATTTTCTCTCAACTATCGGAAGGGAAGCACTGATGTAATTAGTGAAAGGGGTGTTTGAAGAACGGCGCCCCTAATTGTATTAGTGATCATGACAAACAAAACGACAGAAAAAGCAAAAAAGAATTTCGCGCTTACCACTCTGAGCAATCTATATGGCTGAAGACCCAGTGAAATCTCGAGTACTTGTGACGTATTCTCAACTGGTCTCACATCCGTATTATAGTCCTTCAGCAAATTTTCAACCAACAGTCGATCGAATGAGGCACATTGCAAACCTAAAGGGGTGATGTCTCTCTTGGAATGTTGGGATATAAATTACGCACGGTATGCTACTAGAAAGTGCGGTCAAATAGGGTTTTCCAATTTTTAGCAGAAATTCCGCGGAATTCGAGGCTGAACTTATTGATAAATAGAAGTTCAGTTAGAGCCAAACTGCCTGAGTTAAATGGCGAAACAACCACGAACACAAACATCATCACTTCTTTATTGGATATACTACCTGAGCGCGGAAGATTGGAGCGAACTTTTGATAAATTGGAAAACCCTATTGCTTTGTACAATTGTAATTATGTGTATTTTTTGCAAATCACAATAGATTACATGAAATGTTTTTGCCGCCTGGCAATTAAAATTACATTCATTAAATGGATTGCCAACTTTGGCAGCAGGTATCAATTTTAGTTTGTTTTCAACACAGGGTGTTTTTACGGGTGACTAGCTTGTTGTTGGTTTAATTTTAAAAATACCCAAACAGGACAAGCTACGATGTTTACAAAAATATTGTTAAATGGTGGCATGTGTAGAAAAATGCAGATTCAAAAACTTTGGATGCAAGATTGATCATTGCTATGGAGAAAGTGCTTTGAATCTACAACCTTGAATGGATGTACACAATGTACTAGTATCTGAAAAAATCGATCAGCTTTTAAGTGATCAAGAAGATTTCCTGAACCGTTCACATAACTTCACAGAATACTTTTTTCCTCATATGAGATATGAAAATTTTGAAGTTTGCTTCTAAGAAAATATTTTGTAATATTGTCACTGGTCAGCACATACATTCAGTTCAGTATTACGAGGTTTCCCAATTTCATTTCTTTACATTGCAGGTAGTTCTCTGCTTACCTTGAAAAAAGGCTGAAAGTATTATTGCGACAGTCACGATCGTAGAAGACATGGTAAATCTTCATTACTTTAGAGTATTACCATGAAGTAACATCAGAAACGCAGCGATGAATAATATGAACAAAAAGTACGAAAATATTTCACCATTTTCCAGTTTTCCGTACTAACAGCGTGAGGCAAACTCGCAGCCTGAATTAATAAGCTGACGGTGTCGTTTCTTTTTTATTACAACCTCAGCAAGTTATTAATCAATTATTAATGATAGACTTGCGCGTTTGTGTCAGGTCTTTGGAGAATCAAGTCCAGCGAACGATAAATCTGCTTATTACTCATGTAACGACCAACAAAACCCCGATGGAAAGACCACAGAGTTTTCCGGTGACTCCTTCATCTTTGTTACACAGGATGTAAAAGCATATCAATCGAGATGTGAGGAGGCCCAAACCGTGAGTCTATGGACTACAACTCCTTTATTTTCCGTGGTGACATTTTCCTTATTATAGTCTTTCGAGAGAAATGCTGAACAAACCACATTGCAATAAACCTAATTTTTTTAGCACAGTCTACCAAGAAGACGATCCTTAGAAAGTGTGGACGAGGAAGAATGGAATTCCATGCTCCTCCATATTCCTTATCAAGTCGTTTCTTCAAATTGCAACTGATGCTTCAAGTTAGAGTAGCCTCTTACCTTGACACTAGGCAGGAAGTGCTGAAGTGATCTTCATGGTTGAATGTCCTTGTTATAACAGCTAATTAACCCAATCTCCCCTTCGCGTGTATTTCCGAACGAGGGACAAAACAAATCACTCCATTAGTGCCCATATTTTGGTTTAAAGAGGAGATTGCCTCAGAATCTCAATTTCAATCTCGTTTTCATTTCAGGGGAGAAGAAGGAAAAATGATAGAACTAGTGATAACAAAAAAACACCAGGGATAGTCTACATCAGTATATACCACAAAGTGTTGAATTGCGCTGTTCGAGCGCGTTGATTGGCTGGTTCAGAATTTCAAAGTAATTAGCAGGGGCTATTTACCTCCAAGTATTGCGTGTCAATCTAATTTCTGACCATTTTTTGTATATCAACAGAAATAAACCAATTTTTGTTTGAGGTAGGACACATACTAAAATAATTATCCACCTCAGTGTCGATGAAAGTAGTGAATATTTCACTTACCGCTTCGCGGCTCGGTTAATATTCACCACTATTCACCTCTACTTCGCTGAATAATTGTTAAATGTGGACAAAAGTACGCTAAGCATTACCCTGGGTGTGCATATGTGTTTATAGTCTGTAGGTCTTTTCCACACGTTATGTCGCGTGGGTGAAAATAAGCTCTACAAAACAGATTGCAAAAAATATGGTTATATATAATTGTTTTATTCATGAAATAAACTCGAAAGAAAATTTCAATTCCATTGGAATAAATTTAAGACCTTCCCATTTGATTATATCAAGTTAAAAGAAAGTTGACACATATTGGATAATAATATTTTTACTTAAGAAAATAACAAAAATAATGTAATGTTATATCATTTGCTTGTGAGAGAATTTCACAAAACGAGGTTATAGTTTCAATAAATTAATCCCCCTTATGATTGCCTCTCCAAATCATTTCACTTGACCATATCCACTGATTTCCTTTAACAAAATTGACTTTCATCCGGTGCAACAACTGTAAACACAGTCAACAGACATTGCAAAACCTTGTAAATGACGAAACAAACTGGTGCACATGTGTAATTGAACTCATGCCTATCTGTCAGTACCAGTGGTTGACTCATCCAGTGACGGAAATGAAACGTAGGTTTATACTTCCGGTTTTACCAGTTTGATGAATTCTGTGGGATACAAAACATAAAGAGAGATTATTACGGAACTGAGGAGGTGTCTGAATCTCAGAAAAGGGATAATTTAATTTTCCTTTAATTCACTTTTAATACCTTTAATTTTCTGAATACAAAAGATATTATAAAATTCTTTTCAAAACGCTTGACCCGAACAGACTCTTAGCTACCTACAATCCGCGACGAAATAGTTGGTATGTTCCATTTAGAGTTCAGTATACAGGTGTAACGTAACATTTCTATCCCTAATATCCTTACTCTACCCCTGTGCAACGTTGAAACTTGCCAGGGTACTTAAGACTTATTGTGCAAGATATACCATGACGATTTTTCAACATGTTGCAGCATGGAACCTCGTCGAGCAAACTGTTAAACGAATTAACACTCTATTACCTTCAAAGGTGATTTTTCGTTTCCGACTTTCTTGAGAATCTTGTAATATCTCGTTGATGTCTTGTTCTGGAATGCTTTCTCCCATGTGCCGCATCACGTAACGAATCTCGTTAGAGAATATGTATCCCTTGTCGTCACCGTCAAAAGTTCTGAATGCTTCCAAGAGCTCCTTCTCGTCCAGCGTGTTGTTGTTTTGATTAATCATCATGTTCACAAACTCGCCAAAATCCACCACACCATTTCCTTTTTTCAATTGAGGGAAAAATGATAGTTAGCCAGCCTCGTTTGAATAGTAAAAGACGATCTAATTGCGTATCCGAGAGTATCTTTCCGCGAGGTGATAAGTATTGACAGAGCTCTTTTCCAATGAGTGTCGTACAACAAAAATAATTACAACGACTCATCAGAAGAAAAGGGAACTGCCTTTGAGAGCCCATGAGAAATCGAAGGAAAAACAGCCAAACCACCTAAAGCGCGGGAAAACGCCGGCGACCAAGCTGTGGTTGGTTTTAGTTTTGTATCTGATTGGTCAAGAGAATAGCACAAGTTTTCTGGACCAATCACAGAACAAAGTAAAGGAATACCGATGCAATCTCGGATTACTTTCGACATTCGATGTAGGACCGTGACTGAGTGGAGCACGAGTGACCCTTACATCAACTCTTATTAGCAAATTATTGTGTCAATAACGAATGCGAGCAACCAAGATACGAAATATTTGATGCTACCCCAGCCAAATTAAGTAATTGGTAAACCTAACGAACCAATCATGTCAGAAAATCAGAGTTTTTGTTATAAACTCAAAAACCTTTTTGAAACTATGAACAGATATGAAAGCCGAATAGCTCGTGGATTGTTAGGAAAAACAGTAGATAAGCTATGAGCAGCTGTTTTATATGCAGGTATAAGGATTCAGTCTACTAGTTAGTATCCATAAAAAAGACCTTCAGGAGGTAAAATGCTTCTTAAAGGGCACCATGTTCTCATTTTACATACATAAGGATGATTCGTCAACAATTTGAGCTGCACCTAACCTGGTAAGTTTTCCTCGACAAGCGAAGTTCAACTTGCCAGAGACAACTTTATTCCGAAAATAGCTTGGTTTTGTCAACTGAGTTGATTGATCAGTGTAAATTGGCCATCGTAAAGAATTTGTAAAGCTTTTTTTTTTTAGCGTTAGCCCATCCTTAGAGAAAAAGACGAAGGGCTAGCGCTTGAAATGTTTACAAAATTCAAATTATTTCGGTGTAAACCCCCCCCCTCCCATTAGCCCCCTCCTCCACCGACTTAACACAGAAAATTACCCCCATCAATTATTTGCCATGAAAAGTTTACCTTACCGTCATAATCTACTTCATTGACCATATCCTGGAGTTCGGTTTCCGTGGGGTTTTGCCCGAGGGATCTCATTATGGCCCCCAACTCACGGGTTGTTATATAACCATTGCCATCTTTATCGAAAAACTTGAACGCATCTCGGTATTCTGGGAAACGTAAGAAAATATAAGAAAAAAGATCAGTCAATAATTTTTGTGGTCGAAGTGCACTGAATGTAGCTGCTCAAGCTAGTTTGTAAACGCTCCACTCTGCATATAATTCCAACCACAGAAAACATGGTAGAAAATCCTATATACCGATAAAAGGAAAATTTAAATGTAATTCAAAATACATAGCAGACTGTGTCGCTAGTCATCATATGAAACTAATTTATGACTACTGTCAGGTAAATGAATAGAGTTTAAGAGTCAATAGTTAAGACGCATACACGGGTTTTGACTACAAAAAATGGATCAGTTCCGTCGCAAACACCTGACCTCTAGCAAAGACAAAATAATCACCTTCTGAACTTATAATCTGCGAAAGACAAGCCTTTTCCTCTCGCAAGTTCAAGAATCGGAATCGGATTTCATAAAATGTTTCCATGAAATTTATCTTCTGATAGTTTATTTAGTCCTTAGATTTGAGACACCTAAAACGTTTACCAAAAATGTCTCGGCAAACATACAATCTGCGTTCTTTTCTTCGATGTTTACCAGTCAACTAACGATGAAGGACCGTGTTTATAGTGTATATGATCGTGTATTCATCCGGTGACCCTTGTGACTCGTTTCTAACCTATGAAATACGGTTACAGATCGCTAAAAACATGTAATACTTTTTTTCAGACGTTTTTTTGGGCAGGAAAAACCTGTCAGGTGCAGTAAAGCCTATCCAAACATCAGAGGAGGTATCTATTATAGTATTTTCAAAGCATTATTAGCATACCAGGGTATTTCGTGCGAATTCAACAAATTCCGTCTTCAGGAAACATATTCGTTTTCTGTTGTTATGCTAACTCTGGCTTAAAGTAGTAAATAGTAATTGTGATTATTCAAAATCTGTAAGGCGTCGTTAGATCTCAGAATGTACCTTCAATCTGTTCCTCTGTAAGTTTATCCTGCAAATAAACGGAAAAAGATACATGGTCAGAAAAATCAAATGGGATGCGCAGATAAATATGCGAGGACAAAGCAGACGAATTATAAGCGGTGATTACTCCCCTCGTAATCTGTGGGGAAAAAAAATGAATAAATTACATTGATCTTTTTTCCAAATTTTCCCCTCGTTTCAGACAAAATGCTTTAAAATGAGTTTCATCGGGTGACATCTGGAATATTGATCTACCTCAATTTCCATTTCAGAGCCTTACGGTTGAAATTTCTCGCCTTTATGTCGATGCTTTTCTGAACTAAAATTCTTGCTGTTTGTCAAACCGATAGCGATCGCAATTGCATGCGCTTTTCCTCTGTCTTAGCCAAAATCTAGGAAATCGAATTGAATAATGAAGGAAGTTCTTCCTGTGTACTTTGGAAAATCTATTTATAGTGCCTACTTTCACATGCGTAGTATTATTTGTAGATAAACAAATTATTTTGTAGCTTCGCTTCTTGGTCAGGCAGGGCAACAAGCGTTTCAAAAAGCGAAAAAGAAAAAAAAAATTCAAATTGTTGTTACATAGGTCATAATTTTGAGCGAATGATCATTTTAAGCAGCCTGTTAGGTATTATCCAGCTTGAGTTTTTGTCTTAGCTCGGCAGGAAAATCATTTTAAATCTAAATTTCATTCTGCACTGAAAAATCAGCAAAATATTTTTGTCAAAACCTTGAAAAGAAGACGATTTATGTTATTGATTCTATCTGAAGCTCATCTTCTTAGCGTTTGAAACGGGACCGATAGATTCTAAGTTATCTTATGTATAATCGGCTCTTTAGAGACCGCGCATTTAACCTGATCGGACAACAAGGCCGCTCAGAGACAGGCGGTGTATTTGAAAAGTTTGCCAATTAGATAAGAAAAACAAAAAATATAATAATAAAAGACGGCTAAGAATCCTATCACGAAATTACAGTGAACCACATGGCGTTATTCCACCGGGCTAATTTTGCAATATTTAATTTCGCGCAGAAGTTTCCCAGCGGATGTTCATTGAATTTCAAAGCTATGACGCTTTTCTGCATAAAACGCTTATACGTTTATTCATCAAAGTGACCTTATACCGGGGGGGGGGG